ATTGGGGATGGCAAAATTCCAGTGGATCCAACAGACGGCCAAATTCAGATTCCCCCAAGGTTGTGGGATCATTGCACAAGATATAGCAGAGCTCAAAACAAAAGTTTTCCCGAATCTCAGCCATAACTATGCAAATCATAAGTGGATGCATGAGCGAGCTATCCTTTCTCCAAAAAATGAGTCTGCCAAGAAAATCAATTCCCAGTGACTCAATGACATCCCTGGCCAAGAAACTGTGTACAAGTGCATAGGTACTGTTCCTGATATCGAAAATGCTGTCAACTACTCAACTGAGTTTTTAAACACTTTGGAAGCCTCCAGTATGCCTCCACACAAACTAATACTAAAGGTTGGATGCATAATCATGCTGCTGAGGAATCTAGATGCATCAAAGCTATGCAATGGCACAAAATTGGTGGTAAAGCAGTTGATGCCACGTTATAGAAGCAATTATTCTGACTGGTCAGTTCGAAGGGGAAGATGTATTCATTCCTCGCATCCCACTGCTCCCAAGTGACTGCCCGTTTGAGTTTGAAAGGCTCCAATTCCGAGTTTGGATGTGTTTTGCCATGTCAATTAACAAGGCACAGGGGCAGAGCTTAAAGGTTGCTGGCCTTTTCTTGAATACTTTTTTGAATACTTCTTCCATGGACAATTCTATGTTGGAGGCTCATGTGCGGGTTCATCTTAAAACTTGTACATCAGGGCCAAAGGAGGAAAAACTGCAAATGTCATCTACACAGAAGCATTGCAATAACTCGATCACACAATATGCTGGATCACACAGTAAACCCCTCTAGTTAGCGTAGCTTTGATAGGAGTCCTCCCACAGGAGTCCTCCCAAAAAGAGTCCTCCCACAGGAGTCCTCCCAGATGAGTATAAAGATGAAATGTCTGTCTGTGTGTCTGTGTACGTGTCAATCCACATTTCATATTGGATCCTTTGGTTGTAAGCGAAGCTGCAACAGGTACAGCTAGTCATTAATAATAAGGGTGAAAGACCGCGGTCTAAACCTTAGCCCAGGTCTCGTTCTTCCATCGGATTGATTCTAATTTTAGCCGCTCCCTCTAGGGACTGGCCTGGCCTCAATTGGAAATTCATAAATCTTACAAGCCCCTGAGTCAACATTTGCAGTTGTATGGTTTCCTTCCCTTATTTTTATTGATATTATCCTTCTATTTTTACTGGAAGCAGTCAGCATAAAGGTGATCTGGTGCACAGTAGCCCTACGGAAACATCTGAGCAGACAATTGTTAAAAATAACTCAATTTTGTTTTAGCGCAATACTGAAAATGCTGTTCACTGCAGATTAAGGTGTGGGCGTGTCTCTCCAACTGTATTGAAGCTTGGCTTTTGGTCGCCAGCTTCTACACACACTAGTGCAGTTTATGTTTTTACTGAGAAGCATATAATGCCATAAGGGTGAGGGTTCAAACCCCATATCAGGACTTTGAATTCACAGCCTAAGCTAAAACTCCAGTGGAGTGGTGAGGAGTGCTGCATTCTCTTAGGTGCTGTTTTTCAGATCGGACATTGCATAGGTAGATGTTAAACATCCCATGGCATTGTTCGAAAAGAGAAGGGAGTTTCACCCAGTTTCCAGGACAACAATACTCCAGATAAAAATTAGTCCGTTGATTCACGGCTGTTTGTGGGACACTGTTGTGTGCAAATTGGCTGCCACGTTTGTTTGCAGAATACACAGTCGCGACATTTTATGTAAATCTTGCTATCAATGATGTGAAAAGTGGTATATCAAATGAATTATTGTGGTCTCACTCGAGAACCAACAGTACAGGCACTGGGACACTACACGTCCGATCCGACTCTGGGATCTGGTCGTAAATCGGTCTCAGTCCAATCCCTGGCAATTTGCTAAGGTCTGAAGTGAAGCAAGGTCGCAACCTAATTCCTACAACAACATCAACTTGCATTTATATAGCACCCCTCATACAGGGTAGCATTCCAAAGCACTTGACAGTGGCGGGGCCCGACCCCAAGCCGGGGAGGGATGGTGACCATAGGTACAATCAAAGAGGAAGGTCTTCAGGCGCAACCGGAAGATGGGAAAGGACGGAGCAACGTAGAGAAATATAGGAAGATTGTTCAAGAGTTTCGGGTTGCAGTGGCTGAAAGCGCCACCGATGATGGAATGGAGGGAACGAGGGACAAGAAGGAGGCCAGAGCCAGTTGAGGGGAGGTAATGAGTTGGGGAGCAAGCAGGTTGGAGAGGTAGAGAATGCCAGGGCATGAAGGGATTTGAAGAGGAATGTGACGATCTTGAAATCGAGGTATAATTCCCAATAGATATGTGGGTTGAAATTCTCTCTATGCACAGATGTTTACACCTGGTTAACACAAAACGGGTATTAGACACTGACTGGATATCAGGTAATCTCACGTGGCTGCAATGTGATAGAACCTCTGCAGCTCACACTGATGCAGAGGCTTCTGTTACCCTGACAGCGTGTTTGGTAATTTATTGGGTAACAACAGAATCCAGGCCAGACACAAGGCAAACAGGAAAACATCACCTTCAAATAATAGGTTAAATTGAGATCCCATTTGCCTGTTCAGGTGGGTATTAAAGATCCCATGGCACTATTCAAAAAGAGAAGAAAGTTTCTCCTGGTGTCCTGTCCAACAATCTCCCAAATAAAATTGGACACTCACTCCATGGCTGTTTGTGAGACATTGCTGTATGCAAATTGGCTGCAGCATTCGCCCACAAAATACATAGTCAATCCAATTTATAGTATATCCTGTGATGTGCTTTGAGAGGTTTCGACAACATGATAAGGTGCTATATCAAATGCAAGGATTAATATTATTACATTGCAGCACCTAACAACAACCACTTGTATTACGAAACAGCCTTCCTGCAGGACAGTGACAGCAGGAATTACTGGCGATGCAGATAACCATTCTCATTGTAAAGCCGAGAGGGGCTAAAAGGAGGTTAGAAGAAATATTTTTACACAAATGGTAATTCACCTACAAATATACAGTCCCCTTTCTTTGCAGTCAAATCCTGTAAAGTGTTTGACAAAGTGATGAAGCGCTGTAACAAATGTAAAGATTATTATTATTGCTGCGAATAGGAACTCGTTCTCACAAGTGCCGGTCAAAACCAAGTCATTTATGTAACCTAAAAGGACATTTAAAAGCAAATGAATTTAAAGCTTTGAAGAGCAGGAATGTAAAAAGACATGAGATAAAAGCAGGCAATTGGCTTTACAGTACATTAGTATTAAATAGCTCGAGTGGAGAGGAACTAAAAATTCTATTTTTTTTTGTGGTCAGCCGGGTGTACAACACAGCAGCTTGGAGGGTTAACAGGAGCTGAGTGGGAAGAATCCCTCCCCTAATGACTACTCTACCCCTCCAAGTCCCGCCGACGAGCCAAGGTGGCTGGGCTGTCATCAGCTGGCAGATGCAGGCAGAGCTGCCTGGTTCAGGACCTGGACTACCGAGTCTGCCACAGAGGATTGGCTTGATTCTGACGTTCGGTTGCCAAACACGTCACCTTGGAGCCAGCTCAGCTCCTAGGAGCCCCCGTTTACCTCCCTCCCCACAAGGAGGATAATCACTATTTGATCATTTGACAAGCATGGTTTTGAGTCCTCACTCGGTGGATGGTAAGTACCAGGAACTTCTGCAATCTTCCTAGTGAGCAGCACAACTCAGTGTCATAGAATCATAGAATTATACAGCACAGAAGAAGGCCATTCAGCCCATCATGTCTGTGCCATGTTTGAATGGTGAGAGCATTGCAACCATCTTTCTACAACAACAGCAGCAACAAAATTACATTTGTAAAGCGCTTTTCACGTCAGGAGGATGTTCTGAGGCACTGGATAGAGAGAGTTTTGGACCCGAGCTGGGGGTCAGGGTCGGGGAGGGTGGAGGGTGGGGGGGTGGGTGGGGGGAAGCAGGGAGATTGAAAGCACGGTCGAAGAGGAGGCTCTTGAGATGGGTCTTGAAGGAGACAAGGGAGGGGGCGAGGCGGAGGGACTACGGGATGGAGTTCCAGAGGTTGGGGTCAGAGTGGTGGAAGCCCTGCCCGCTGATAGTGGGGCGAGCGAGGTGGGGGACGTGAAGCAGGCCGGAGCCCGCTGAGCGGAGGGAGTGAGCAGGATGGTAGGGGTTTAGGAGGTCGCAGAGCAAGACCATGGAGGGCTTTGAAGGTGAGGACCAGGATCTTGAACTGTATCCTCTGTGCATTCTACCCATAGCTCAGACACATATCCATTGGTTCCACCAGTTGGAGATGTGGTGCTTGAACAGCAGCTGCTTGTCTCTGTGCATACAATCAAGGTGGACTCCAAGCTCAGGATATGAACTTGTGTTCAAGTTCATATCCTGAGTTTATGAACTTGTGTTCATAAACTTGGACTCCAGGTAACACCTTCCAGCAGCTGTTATCCCAAGCCTCAGAGTTTCCTTATCAGCTATCTGACAGACATCCAATGGCCATATATATTCTATGAAAATATATGATTAAGGCAGCAAAGCTGCTTCTTGACATCTCAAGTTGAAGTCCTTCCCAACGTATCAGATTTCTACTTATAATATACTTCTCCTCTTAACCATCATATTCCTTCCCCTCAACCCCCATCCCCACACACCCCTCTCAGAAAATAATCCTTGCTGCGATATTTTCATTTTACACAGCAATAACCTCTGGGCAAAGTACCAATTTCTGTGCTGTGGCCTCATGCCCAGTAGAACGTGAATTGGTTCTGATACAGAACCCTACAGCCAGCAAACAGTTTCACCTCCTCATTCTGAACATGGACCACATAGATACAAAGACGGGATGTTAAACTCCGGGATCATCCAGGCCTCTACATAGTCCATATGTTTGGGAGGCCCAATTCCAAACACAACCAATGGTCTCGGGCAACAGACATGCCCGCAAAGCTCCTTCAATGCCACCACCATTCCTTCTGGGGAACAAACAAACATTCAGCTGCTAAATGCATGGGATCCTACTTACTGGTTCAGTGTAATGTCCAGGATGAACGTGGATCCGAAGGCCTCAATTTGGAAGCTTGCGTGAGTGAGGTGAACAGCCTGTAGGAATAAGTGAGAGGTGTGTATGAGCAAAGGTGTTCAATGGTCAGATGGTTGAGGAGCTTAATCCTCATGGCAGACTTAAGATTATAGTTTAGGACAACATTCAATGATAACCAGTTATAAAAACCATAGGAAGGAAGGGAGGGAGGAATGATGGATACCAAATGCATTTAATAATCAACGTGATGCTCAATCACCCTTTTTGGCACCCTTTTCTATTTGTTAATTGTCCTCTGGATAAAGAAATACTTCCTGGTGTTTGTCCTGAAATCGCCCTTTGCAACCCTTGAACCTGCGTCTTCTTGTCTGTTGCATCCAAAAGTATTGTTTGGAGTTTACTTTCTCAATCTCATTTAAAATCTCCCTCTGTACAACAGGTCCCCTCTGAGATGTCTCCTTTCAAGACTGAAGATCCCTCCCTGGCTTGTCTAATCATTGCTTATAGCTTATTCCTCTAACAGTGGGGATCATCCTCATTGATCTCCTGTGCACTGCCTCTAGAGCCTAGACAACCGCCTTACGTGACCAGAACTATATGAGGTACAATATATAGCATATAGATTGTTACTTATATAAAAATAACATAACCATATAGATTATTACATTATTACATATAAAAAGTAACATATCGGTGTATCGTTTGTTCATTTATATACAAATATATAATAATAAATAGATATTAATTATATACAAAATATAACATAGAAGATTATTTACGTACAATATAACATATTAAAACACTTATAAAATTGAATTATTAAAAAATGCAGTTGAGCAAAATAAAATTGTTGAAAATGACTCTATGCTCAGTAGGTATCATGGTGCATCTAACAACTAAAAACATTACTTTATAAAGTGTTGCGATCTATAATTAAAATAACTGAATGTCAATTACTTTGATAGATTTTTCCCCAGCTTCTCTGCTATACTCTAATCTTCTGAGCTGGTGTCGCCTGGAATTATCTTTGACTTCCAAAGCAGCATTATAATTAAAACCTTGTAATTGCAGCCTTCTAATCATTTCTATCTATTATTTTCTATGCATTGAAGCGTGAAAGCATGAATGTGATTTTCCATCCAATTCGGGCATTATTTTATCTTTTCGACTGTATTTTTGGACACCTTCCCCCTCTCCCCACCCCCTGCCTCCACAACAACCCAGCTCTCCTTCCCAGCTTGGGCTGCCAGTCAGCTGTAGGAAGCACTTTGAAACATGGTCCCGACGTGAAAAGTGCTCTGTAAGTGTAACATTGTGGTGGGTTGTTATGTGTTCTCACTTGGACAGGAATAAAGGTAAGCGATTTAGGGGAACCTCTCAGGACAATCCAAGGTAGTGTTTGTAATGCAAGCACATTTTTTGCAACAGTGGGAATCAGGTGTGGAACATACAGTGAACATACAGTTGTGGAGTCCTGTAGCACTCTCACCTCGCAAGCGAGAGGACCAGGGAGGAACGAAGCCTTAGGCAAGTTTCCTCACTCCACATACCTCTGTTTACCGAGCAGTAAGTCGGAAACCGGTTTTTAGTTGATTAGCGGATTGCTTTCCGGAGGTAACAATCCCTCAAAAAAAATTGGTCAATCAATCCACAACTGTTGTGGAACACTGCTATGCGTAACACGGCTGCTGCATTACACCCACAAAATACAGTCAATCCACTTTATAGCATATTCTATGAGGCACTTTGAGACCTCTCAACGACATGATAAGGCGCTGCATCAATTGCAAGGATTATTCTTATTATTATTATTATATACAGTGTAAATCAAGGTTGTGAAGTGGGCTGGACCCCTGCTCCTGCCACTACCTGGAGGAGCTGGTTTTAGAAACGGTATTAATGTGAATCGCATTGGGCTCCACTCACTCAGAGCGATCTGTAGAAATAAGTAGTTATTGAAGTTTCAAGAGGTTTGAGGGACTGAATCTGCGAATGACTCAGTAGCAGCACTCTCGCCTCTGGGTCAGAAGGTTGTGGGTTCAAGCCCTACATCACGACTTGGAACTCATCTACGTTGACACTCCAAGGGAGTGCTGGAGACTCACTGCATTGTCAAGTGGTGCCGTCCTTCAGAATGAGTCATCAAACCAAGATACTATTTGCCCATCCAGGTGGACGTTAAAGATCCCATGGCACTATTTGAAAAGAGAAGAGAGTTTGTCCCAGTGTTCTTGTCGACAATCCCCCAAATAAAATTGATCACTCACTCCACGGCTGCTTGTGGGATATTGCTGAACGCAAACCGGATGCCGCGTTTCGCCCACAAAATGCACAGTCACTCTGCTTTACAGCATATCTTGTGAAGCACTCTGAAATGTCTCAACGATGTGATAAGGCGGTGTATCAAATGCAAGGATTGTTTATTATGAATGAACAAGAAATGAGCATTTCTGGGTTATGGGAGAAGCATTCCAGAAGGAATTTTGGGGGAAATATCAAGATTAGGATGAACGGGATGAGGATCAAGGAAATTGGGAACAGCTGGCAGTGAGGAAAATCTCAAGAGGCCTTGATTTGGGCAAACGGGACAGAGACCTGCTGGATGGCAGTGGGAATCCTACGATGCTTTGTTTAGTGTTAGTGAAACGTGAGCCGAAGTTGAAGCTGTCGTATTAATGCAGCTGTGGGCATGTGATCACAAGGCGAGCATATTCTTCCCTGTCTAAATGTAGGCGATGCAAGTAGATGAGATCCCTGCTCACGTCTTCCACTATAAACTTCTCTCTCCACACACATACATACACATAGGCTTATTAAAGAACCAGTTGCCCTTCTCACTCCTGAATAACATTAAAAAAGCTGAAAGCAGCCTTTGACATGAGGCATACTTACACATTAGCCACAAAGCTCAAACACCCCCTCTCTGCCCCCACCCTCTTCCCAATTATTTGGCAGCGGGAAAGATGGAATTTGGTTTCCTGTTTTCCAACTGTTCTGCTGCTGGAAGCGATTTGAAATTGTTTGTGGTGCCTTGAAATGATATCCGATTGACCGGATCTCCCATCTAGGCACACACTGGTCCCTCTACTTTGATGCAAAAGAACACATGCAGCATCAAAGAGGGGCCATTGTGCGTCTCGATGGGAAATCCGTCAATGGTATTTCAGGCATCACAAATTGCCAGAATAAAGGTCTCTTTGTGGTCCCAGGTCAGTTTTGGTCCAGATTGTGGCACAGTGTAGAGCCAAATAAAACAACAAGAAATCCTTTTATAATTCTATAATTATAATACAAACTTTATAATTCATACTCTAGATTACTGCAACTCGACAAAAAAGATAACCTATTTTTCAGTAAGAACTGTCTTCTTAGCATCTGTCATTACCCCAAATTCGGTCTTTTGTAAAAACAAGTTACATGATCCTTTTCATTCCTATTTAAGCAGAACTCAATGATCAATAGCTGACTGGCGGATTGACGATGGTCAGAATAGGGTGTTTACCAATGGTCAGAATAGGCAATGGTAGAAAGGGAGAATTGGCAATAATCGCAATAGGGAGATTGGCATTGATAGAATAAGGAAATTAACAAAAGTAGCAGAAGAAATTAATATTAATTGAAAAACCGAACAGGAAAAAGAAAAGCTTGTGTGCATTATCAAACTTGGGAGGGCCTTTGAGGCTCGCATCTATTCCCAGCCTTGGTATCCCATTCATAAACCATCTGGCAATTTGGAGAAATTACCAGGTTTGAATCCCATTCTAGTCTGTGGGCTCAGATGTGAGATTAGATAAAGGGAGTTTGGATTTGCATTGGATGGAAAGGAGGGGGCAAGGACTGCATAGATTTACATTTAAAATCCATCTGGTATATTTGGTATGCCTGCGGCAAAATAGGCTCCCTCCACTTTATATCCTTGAACAACAGTCACAATAATTTGAATTTATATAGCATCCTTCACACAGGATAGCATCTCGGAGTGCCGCATAGTGGCAGGGTTGGAGGCTGTAAAGGGGCATAGGGGGAGGTGACCATAGGCGCAGGTGAAGAGGTAGGTCTTCAGATGGGACTTAAGGATAGATAAAGAGGGGGCAAGGTAGAGGGATTGAGACAGAGTGTTCTAGAGTTTGGGGACAGAGCAGCTGAAGGCAGAGTCACCGATAGTGGAGCAGACGGGTCAGGATGTATAGCAGGCCTGTGTTAGCCTGTGTTTGCGAATTAATTTCAATTCACTGAGTAATCTCATTCAAGGGCCCATAATACGTAGTCTGAATACTAAGAAGAAATTATTTGCTGGGTGATCTAATCATAAAAAAAGCCAATTTTAGGATCTTTTGTGAGTTAAATGTAAGGTCATCCTCTGGTCCCCCGGCATGAGAAGTGTGACTCAGTGACTCTCTGAGCCTAGGAAATGCAGCGTCAGGAATAGTCAAGAGCAAGAAATGCGACACAGAGATTTGTTGAGCATAAGGGAAGTGCTGAGCATGAGAGATACAATGCAGGGAAATGCTGAACATGAGAAATCAGATGCAGGGAAATGTTGCACATGAGCAATGCGATGCAGGGAATGTTGAGTATGAGAAACACGATGCAATGAATTGCAAAGAATGGACTTCTCCTCTTTCAGATGACACGTTAAACCAAGATCCCATCCATGGCCTTGCCCCTTCCTACTTCTCTGACCTGCTGACTCCCTACCAACCTGCCCACTCCATCCGTTCAGCGGGGTCTGGTCTGCTCCATGTCTCCCGCCCGACCCGCCCTACAATAGGTGGCCGGGCATTCAGCCTCTCTGCCCCACACTCTGGAATTCCATCCCACAGTCCCTTTGCCTCGCTTCCTCCCTTGCCTCCTTCAATGTCGGTATTAAGACCATCCTCTTTGATCGTGCCTTCAGTCGCCCTCCCATCTCTCTGCCTTCCCTCACCCCTACCCCACCCCTTCCCCATGCTCGGTTCCTGACCCCTGACTGTCCAGTGCCTTGGGACGTCCTCCCGACGTGAAAGGCGCTCTATAAATGTAATTTTGTTGTTGCTGTTGTTGCCTGGTCAGGTGGACG